ATTAGAAAATTTAAAACATTGTTATTATTATTATTATTATATGATATTATTTCCAAAAATATTTTACAGACTAATTCTACATATCTCTTCATAGTATGTAATTAAATTTTGATTTTTTTTTAAAAATTATATTCATTATAAGAAAATTTCCTTTGGAACAAGTGAAAACTAGTAATTATTAATAATCGGTATACACACATCTAAAATAGAGAAAAAAACAAAATAAACAATAAAAATAATAAAAATAATGTTAGTTATTTGTTATAATTTATTCTATCATTTGAAAAGAGGGCATCAAAATTAACTCTTTGGGTTCAAACGGTTTTAAGTAGGGATTTTTTTGTTTTATTTATTTATTTATTAGTTGAGTGATTTAATGTGATAATCTCTATTTAATATTTAATAGTATTGGTCTCATATTTTGAGTAGATATAAAATATGTTTTGGAATTTGTTTTGTATTTTTACAATGATATTATGTCGTTAGAGTGGGAGGTGGAGGAGGAAGGTCGGTATAACGGGTAGAGTGTGAAGAAGAGTTGTTGTTGGAGGAATCAGTTGTGGTAGTTATGGCTATTTTTTAGTGGTTGAAGAGAAGAAACAATGAAAGATAGGAAGAAAGAGGGTTGACGGCTGATTTTAAGATTTTGGAACAAATCAAGTTCTGATACCATGTAAGAGAAGTTAGGTCGTGTCTTTTTATTGATTTGTTAATCATTTATATACATAATACAATTATGTGATTATGATTATAATAATCATTTGAAATCAATACTAATAATAATCTTTCTATATTTAAATATCTAATCGTTTTGTTGGTTATGTTTCTTAGTTCGTTTTAAGTGGGTGTCTTCTAACTTAGCTTCAAGCATTTTCTATCAATTTATACAATTTTTATTTCATTCATTTTTCGTCTACCTCCTTTTTCATAATAGGTTAGATATTTTTCGTTTTATTCAAAGTGTGTATTTTTGTGATAAAATAGTTCCATATCACTCTTAACTCTCATTGTAAAAGTATTTCTTTTATATCATTATTTTTTGTATTTTACTTTTCTTTTCTCTTTGCAATATGGCGATTTTAAAAGTGATATGCTTAGGCGTAGAGGTTGCAAAACATCCTTTTACTAATCAGACTTACAAAGATATATGTTGCTCCCATTTTAGAAAGACCAATAAACGTATGAACTGATACATGTATTTTAAAACAATTTTGGTTGGAATGATAACGACTCTAATATGTGTAGTAGCTTAAATGACACAAGTTAAGTAGTCATGAAAGTGATTGTGTAATAATCACTTCTTCGTCTTTCTCACATCATGTTAAAGACTATTCTTTGGCTATATTGGTTGTTTCAAATGTTAGTCCACCTTTCCCCAAGGCATTCAAATATATTCCATGCTATCTTAAATAGAAATTATAAATTCATTTGTTATTTGGTTGAACTATTATCCATCGGTTGAGAAGAATATATCATCATAGAACCGGTTAGAGATAAAAAATGTATATTAATGAAGCGTCCTCAAGGGTCCACTATGGGGAGTTATACATGTATGATAATGGTGTTGAAGATTTAGGGGTTAAAATACCCTTCATCAATTTTGAGTGTGAAGTCCTTAAAGCGATGAACATACCGCCTCTCAGTTTCACCCTAAAAGTTTTCATGGCCTCAACGTAGAGCCAACTATAAAACTTTTGTTTTCCTTTTATCGCATATGGGGGTTGATTAAGGATCGTAGGTTTCATTGAGAAGCCAACCCAACCAAATTGGTTTTTGTCATATCAATCACATTACAAGGATTTTAAGATATAATTTTTTATAGTGATGGATGGAGAGAAATATCTTGTGATCACATTGCCATCAAGGGGTGCAAACACAATCAATTGACTGATTTTTAGAAGTGCACAATTTATTTTCTAGAGAATTTTTCTCTAATAAACTTGAATATTATATTTGAAAAGAGTGTGACAAAATTGATCTTTTTAGTTTTCTAAGCAAGTATTTATATTTTAATGTGTTGTTATAATGAATATGTTGATTTTTACTGACATGTTTTTATTTTTGCAAGAATTATATCTCCGGCCAAGATTGAGGAGCTTAAGGCATTTTTACTTTTAAAAAATCAAGGAATATAAGGAAACTGAGTTGTAAGTCGAGCTTAAGACTGCCCCATCAAGTACCCAATGATTCAAAGTGAAGAATGTAAAAAGAAAAGTTGGGGACTAGTTTCAGGAGGAAATTTTTCTCCTTTTTAAAATGTGGTTATTACTATTGAGTTGGTCAATGAAGCTCAGGCGATTAAAAAGTAGTCTCGCAAGAAAGCTATGATTGAAAAATGTGATAAAAAGAAGAGTGGGTATACATAGGAGAAAGCCAATAATTCTCAATAACTAGACATATTTAAAAAAATCAAGTTTACTATTGAAGTAATCAAATCATTTGGAGTTAATGAGCTTTTCATATTCATAACTCAATGTAGGATTTATAACAACTATTTTTATCTTTGACAATGCAATGATGGCATTGTTTGACCATAATTATTATGTATATCACATCATCTTATTGTTCAAGATCAAATGATAATACAATGCATGAAGGAATTTTCTTACACCTTCAAATAAATAACTTATTATCCAAAACTAAAAAGCCTTCCATTTTAGGACCAGGAAAGCTTGTTCTAGGCCAAAGGAAGAATAAGTGATTACAGGTGTAGCTAAATGTCAATGAGTCGAATACTTTTTCAAGTCAACTAAGGTAATTAATTGGTTGTTTAGTTCAATGGATAGGAAGAGAGATTGTGTGTGTACGTGTGTATGTGTACGCGTGTGCGCGTAAATGGTCAATAAATTGAATTAACTGCGAAATCGTTATTACCTTTCACCCCACACTCTAAGAATACTCCACATCTAATATTAAAATATTATCCAACACTGTAGTTCCTACTCAAGTGTTTCTTCCTAAGAAAATAAGTTCCTCAGCTACACATAGTTCCACCACAAAAGACTCTCTTGCCAGACACCCATCTCCCATACTCTGCATTTATTTTGCTCCGAGACATAAAACAAACATGAAAAATACAGTCTAAGAGGCACATCTCCAACCTAATTATCTTACCAAAACAAATTATTCATACCATTTATCTCTATTGTTCATCACACTCGCTATTAAAATATAACTACTATCTAAATTGGGAACATCATTTCAGTATAACAAACACAACCGTAATAACTCTTCTATTTTTAGGCCAACCTTCCCCACTATATTCTAGTATACCTAGCCACTAAAATATCTTTTCAGAACTCATGTTCATTCAAAAGAAATCCCGGCCTCCACTTTGATAACAAACTAAAATATCTCACTCTAAGATCTCTCATTAGACCAAGATATAAAATTACCTTCAGTATTATTTACATTTAATTTTAGGAGAGCACTATATTATCCTTCAATTGAATTCAATAAGTATTAATCATTTAAATTTAAATTGATTTTATATACAAACCAAATTCAATAGTTTTAAAGAATTTATCTTGATTTATTAGTAAATAAAAATAATGTGTAAAGACAATTCGATCCCCTCTAAGTTTTTTACCTTTTTAATTTTGATTTTGATGATAACAAATAGATAAGAAATTAATTTTATTTTGAATAGTAACAAAAATCAAAACTTTTTTGAAAGCAAATGAAGCAAGTTGACACAATTTTTTTTAACAAAAGAGTGAAGTCTTGTTTTGTCTAACACCATTTTATCTAATCAAGAAATTTGGCATCATTGCTTTTGACACCATTTCTATAATATAAGAAATAAAACCTCAATTAGTATGACACTATTACCTCTGACACTATTTTCAATTTTTGATATCTTATTTTTTCTTTGCAACACCTTGCTTACGAAGTATATTGAGCACTATATTCAAATCTTAGAAGTCCTATTCACACTAGAAATTCATGTTCCCATCTAGAATTTTTTAGGATTTGGTAGAGCGATAACGAGTGATATGACTTGAAAATGAATCATGTAGTGTACCTCTTTCATTAACTACGTATTTTGTATATCTAATTTCGCATTTCACTTATTAAGATTGACTTCTACTCCTTTAAATAATAATGAATCATAAAACTTTATATTCTTAAATTTTAAATAATAATGAATCATAAAATTTTATATTCTTAAATTCAAAATAAAAACATTTTTAGATTCGGTCTCATGTTATCCTTTTTGACTTTCTTTTATATAGTTTTTAGGGCTTTAGAATGAAATTTTTCATCTCAAGTCTTGATCACCATGATCTTTGAGAACAATTTTATCCACTAGCAAAAATTGACAAAATAAAATAAAATAGACTAAAAAGAAATCAGCACACAGACAAATCAACATAAAGACATAAAAAAACATTTTAGATTATATAACCACAATGCTAGCCGAATGATTCACTCAGATTCTAAAATCCAAACTAACATAAGTACGAGGAGAAAGAAAAATTATTCTTAGATTATATGTGATGTTCAAAGTTACTATTCAAAATATAATTTTTGAGTTTTCAATAACCTTATGGAGAGTGGGAAAATAAATTAAAAAAAATTAAGAAACTTTATATGTAACGTTTTTGAGGGAGACTCACATTTATTTACTCCACAACAATAGACTCTAACATTGATTTGGATTAGACGCGGATCTATAATCGACGTTCGAAGTTGTTTTAATTTTAATTTCATTAGTGCATATTTTGACAAAAATAATGGGTGGTACAGCTAAATTAATCATGCCATGAATCATTCTTCACAAAACTAAGAATCTCAAAAATTGATATTATAAAGATATTTTTTCCAAAAATATTTCGTGGACTATTATCCCTTAAACTTGAACAAACTCAACAAGAGTTTTTGTAATTACATCCATCACAAAAAGAATTTCCTTTCCCACCAATCAATATACCACCAGTATGTATACACATCTCAAACAGAGAAGAAAATGAAACAAAATAAACATCAACATTCATTTGTCAGCTATTTCTTGTACTTTCATCCAACGGTTGAAAATAGATCCCCTCGATAAAATCTTCCGATGGTAAATTCAGATCAGGAATATCTATTGGGCCTCTGTTACGGCCCAATCCAACAGAAGAAGAAGGCCCATTATTCTGATTCTGATGATGCTGTTGCTCCTGCTTCTTATGTTCTTCATTCTCAACCGTTGATTTTGTTGAACTGTTGACTAAACCAACGGCTCGATCATTCTTTCCAATTTCCAAATTGGGGCTTTTCAGTTTACTGCTGAGGTCACTAGTAGTGTTAGTACCACATAGAAGCTGTAAAAAATGGCAATTTCCATATATCAGAACAAAAAAATAAAAAATTAAAAATTAAAAATTAAAAGAAAAACGAAATCACAGAAAAATTATGATGAAAAAAAAAAAAGATTAGTTATATTTTATACCTCTTGCTTCCTCAGTTTCAACTTCAAATTAAAACTCCTCAGCTGATCATAGTGATTCTTCACTTTCTCTATCTCCTGTTTAATTTTCTCAGATTAATTAATTAAAAAATCAATCCATGAAAAATCGAAAAACAAAATAAAAACGAAAAATAAAAATAAACTTACTTGATTGATTGAAGCTTGGGTGTTAGTCAAATCTTGAATAATTTTAAGCGATGCTTCTTTTTCCTTTTGACAGAAAAATAAAATAAATAAATAAATACAAAACCTAAAAATCAGAAACCAAACCCAAAAAGAGCGAAAAATAAAATTGCGAAAGAAAATGAAAGAATCAAGAAAGGAAAAAAAAATGAGAATACCTTTTTGAGAGAAATTTTCTTCTTGGAACGTTTGAGTTTATCATCAGATTCAGTAGCCGGAAACGAAAGAGGCGTTGCAGGACTGGTAGCTTTAGCTCGGCGGAGAACGGCGGCGGCGGCAGCGGCATTCACACGACGGTAGCGCTGTTTCGGAATGGATCTCTTTCTTCTGCATCTCCAACTGAATGGGATGCTACTGAGTAAAGAGACACGGTATAAATCACGAAGGATTTCAGCAACCTCTTTCTCAGTCTCTGACCATTTGGATGTGGATGAGGGAATTTTGATTATCGTCATCGAATCTGAATCAGTGACAGAGTGATAATGGCGATGAATGAATTGAATTGAAGAAGGAGAAGAATGAAAGAGTGAGGTTATAATAATTAGTGTAAAGTGTGAGTGACATGAGAGAGTGAAGAGGATCAGAGAGAAATTATTTATGTGCGTGGCCTCACTTTAAATCAACCCAAGAAACTCGTAAATACATATTCCTTGCCTCTTCATACGTGTCACTCTCATTCTGTTTAGGGTTTTATTTATTTATTTATATTTATATTTAAATAAATACTATACATATAAATATAACATAATTACTTTAAGTAAAAAAATTAATATCAAATTTATTTATACATTAACGAGGATACAAGACGGTTACTATTGAGACAATGAGTTAACTTATTACAATAGTGGCGGTGACACTCTTGAGTAGATTTATTGTGCTAGTACTATGGTAAAATATTTTAAAATTTATACATAAAAAATATTTTTAAGTTGAAATTGATAAACTTTATTTTCAACTTACAATGTGGTATAGAATATTAAATAGTCTCGTTGTGATTTGAATTCCAAATTATTATGTTTAAAGAAGAATGACTATGAATAAATTATAAGTGACTTTATAGCAAAATAAAATAAAATATTGTAAGACAATGTTTAAGGATTTATAAGATACACGTATAACTATTTTGGCTATTATTTAAGTATGGTTTTGATTTGGTTTTGTTTTATTTTAAATATAATTGGTTAAGTCATTTGTTTATCGACTATTTGTTTATCGACTATGAATGAGAAAAATGTTATATGTGTATAAGAAATATGAATCGATTTTTGATTGTGGTAGAGGTGAGAAATTTCATTTTTTTGTTGTTAATTTTAGATCATTGATTTGTTGTTCCTTTTAGTAGTAGCGCTCATTAGCAAATGTTATTAAAGCCCTAGCTCAGATCATAAGAAAAAGTAAATAAATTTTGTATAGAATGTGAGAGACTCAAATTTAAGGTGTTTAAGTTCAAATACAAGTAGTTAATATGATTACTTAATCAAATATGATTATTCAACGAATAATAGTTCAATAAATATATTAAAGTGATACATTATTAGAATTAATAAAAATGCACATAAAGAAGATACATTACACGCCGATAATTAATAATAATACAATAAAATACATATTTTAAAACAAATAGCAACGTAAACCGTTCTAAAGAAAGAAAACGAGATTTGAGAAAAATTAATTATTTATAGAAATATGAATTATTTACGTTAATAATGTCTTATTTTATTGTTCTATTTAATTGTTTAGTTGTTGCAATACCTTATTTTCTTAATATTAAAGTAATTTAGTTAAATAAATTTATAATTCAATTTTAGTACTTAGATTGTTTATAGGTGGAGTTATGTTAGGCTTTAGTTGTCCATGTGCATGTAGCATGCTACAATGTTTTAAAAGAATAGATAAGAGATAAAATTGATGAGACAATCGATTCATGGCTTAACTATTTCAATCGGTTGAATTGGATAATAATTAAATAAATAAATAATTAAAAATTAAATATAAAACTAATTATTAAAATTTTTAAAAAAAAAAACTCAAAAGTTATTATAAGTTTAATAATTTTAAATGTATGCCATTTATTTTTAAAGATAATAAGTAGCCATCTTCAAGGTTCAAACCTAAATCAAACTTGTTTTGAGCATGTTAAAATTTTAATAAGACCGACTCAACTCAAACCCTCACACACACACCTAAGACTAGAAAAAAAGTATTTTTAATTATGGGATTGCTCACCGACGCCAGGAACCACACTCATCTCAGACGTTGGATTAAATTTAACGACCTCTCGTATTTCACGCCACACTTACGAGGGGTGGGGGCAGTGGGAGTGGAAGGGTTTCGTTGTCTACATATAAGCGTGGTTTCTCAATATACCAAGGTATAATTCATTCTATACTTATAATATACATCTTTATGACCTCATTGATTTGAGTGTTGAATTGTTAGCTTTTCACACCTCACATTAGGGAACACAATGGGCAGAGTTTGGGTAGGATACTATAATACTCGTTTCCATACTCGAAGTTGAAAAAAATCCACGTACCCGAGCCCATATCCGCTTGAGTATCAACATTGGCACCCGTCCCCGTACTCTATGGGTATATAAGTGCCCGTACCTATAATAGTTACTCGCATTTCTAAAGAAAGTAAATATATCAAGTATAAAATATTATAATAATTTAAGTTTTTAAAAACATTAAAAAAAATGAAAAAAATTTATTGTTGAATTATGAAATAAATGATCACCTATATTAAATATGTAGTAGTTTAAAATTGATGCTTTTTTTAAATTTTATAAACATTTATTTTTATATAATAATATAAATTAAAAAAATATAAATATATATTGTGCGGGTATGAGGCGGAATGGGTACTAAGGTGCCTATACCCGCACTCATCCCCGCTTATTTAAGTGGGTAATTACCCGAGCCAGTGTCTGTACCCATTTTTGCGGAGTTTTATCCTACCCGTTGTGGATAATTTTATGGGTACACACTGAGGATGGGACAAATTGTCATCCATAATCTCCATTTACTAGAGACTTTTACATATGTAGCTAAAAGTCTTCGTAACACACTTCACCAGCACATTACCAATTTCTTGTTCTATATTAGAACAATAGTGACATATGTGGGAATTGGTTCATGATTTTTAAGAAATTCCACGTCGAATCACTCTAATCTTCTCAGTTGTGTAGTAACAACCATTTTTTCTAACTAGTTCGATCAATACAAAGTTTCCTAACTGTCACCAATGATAGCTTCTATGGAAACTCGATTAGTCACACATCACAACATTATTTTTACAATTGATAATGGTGCACAAGTCCTCAAATCCATTTCTGAAGATCATCCTCTTCCCCAAGGGATGAGAAATCTAGTGCTAGTAACTTCTCTAACTACCACATCTCGCCAAATTCTGAGATCTCAGCTGGTTGGACATGGAACATTTTAGGTTTTACCATCGTTCCAACCATTTCAAAAACTACTCCAGAATCAAACTTTGAAACAAACTCCACCTCAAATGCAGTTGTTAGGACTAGAAATCTCACATAACATTCAATAACTCTATGCCACACTTGGGATATAAGGTGCGAACGAATTCATAACAAGAAATTACAACCTAGTGTAGCAACACATCATACACCTTATAAATGAGAGAATCCTACGTATAGACGGGAACTAGCCAAAATCTCTAACACAAAAAACTACACAGCTATAGGCACTTCAGAACAACAATCTCAAAACCACGCCTATTGAAATTTCCAGCGAAGCCACGTCATAGTGATTGAGGACATTCAAATCTCCATAAAAATGTCAAGATTAAGCTGGTATCCACGCCCCTCCCAACGATCGTTGCCCTAAGAGATCCATGTCATACCATTCTACAAAGAAGAATAAGTAATGCATCAATAACCAATTCCAATCTCATCGTCAGAAAAACATGTTCGACAAACACATTATCAATGCAAGATTTCTAAATCCCTACAAAATCCGCTAAAGTTGGGCAATTATGACATGATTGTAGACTCATATGAGCACATAAAGGACATAGACAATATGCTTGATTATAGCCATACCAGAAGCACTATGAAATGAAAACTATTCATGTTAATCTCAAAGGACCCATTAGGACATGGTTTAAGACTATAGAGGCCAGTTATATCATTTCTTAGATAAAGTTGTGTGATAAATTCGAAGCACAATTCACAAATAAAAAATGACAATTAAAAATGATACTCGTCCTTAGTTTAATGTCTTCTAAAGGTTTTTATAATGACAATTGAACAAGGAATAATAAATCACAAGCATCATCAATCAAGAATAAAGCATGAGACCAAGTGTTTTAGTTCCAGTTGAAAGGGATAATAAAAGTTAAATTAATTAACCTTATGCTGGTAGGGATTGCTATAAGAATTAATGTTTCAATGGGATTAGAGCAAATTCACGAGGTCGAGAAGCTTAGGTTTTGAGGTGTTTCTATGTGTGAATATCATATTATTCCCCCTAAAACGTAAGTTAGGGTGTTTATGGAGACTTATGGGTCTTGAGTTAACGTTTCTCTGAAGTAGTAATCGTCTATCCTAATAATGGGAAGGGGTCGTTGAATCCTTATTTCCTAGGAAGATGTGGGATATTACCAAGACTCTTTTTATGCATCATTTTAGACCAAGACATATCACCTTCCATATTTTCCCACTCTTTACGAGTGATATGTGTCGCAAGCAATGTCACCCTGTCGTGAGCGATATGATCATGTCACGTGTGATATGATCTCATTGCCCCTTGAGGGTTCATACAATTATCACTGTATAGTCCCTCAATACAAGGGCTGCTAAATGGCGAAATGCTTAATTGACTTTGCATCAGGGGAGCCTGTGATTGTGGGAGATGTACTCAGATAAGCCTGTCTGATGAGACTCTTAATTGAATCTCATATGAGAGGCATTTAGATGAGCTTATCTGATGAGACTTTTAGTCCCTCAAGTGGCGCATTTAGATGAGCCTGTCTAGTGAGACTCTTAGTCGAGTCCCTTAAAGTTTTTATAAAGACAAACACATCAACAAAAAGAAGACAAAAGCTTATCTAAGAAGAAAAAGATTGAAGGCTAGAACAATCAAAGGAAAGAATCAAGATGGTTAAAGCATGCATTACAACCCATTTATGCATCATTAAAATGTTTTAACTTTTGCTCAGAATTATAAAAATAAGTATTTAGAAATTCTGTAACAGGTATAACTGGTTACACAAAACCTGTAACTGATTACAAGTACGAAAACTTTGTTTTTTATAATGTTACAATGTGTAACCGGTTACAACATTATGGTAATCAGTTACCACTAAACCAACAACTCTTTTAATCAATCTATTTCATTCCTAAAGATTACATTGCTTCATGGAACAACTGCAAACATTCATATTCATTCAAAGGGGTTCCTATTGATGTATACACCAGTAAAACGAAAATAAAACTCTTTTAAAATGTAGTTTTCAAATTAATTCAAACAATGTTGATTAGTGTTCATATATTTTTATATGATACTTTGTGCATAAACTTTCACATGATTTAAACAAGTTTCATTCATATCATTTCTGAGCACTTATGTGTATATGTTTGTATTGTGATCAAAGAGAAAAATAAAATTAAAAACTTTCATATATCTTGTAATACAAGCAAGTCAAAAGTGATACAAACTCAAGTGTTAAATCTGTATTATTGTGATCATCAAGTTGTTGGTAATTGTTGTAAAAATGTCCTTTGAATTGGTTTGATTCAAAATCCACCATAGTTGTTGATGTTGTCGAAAATCAAGGAAGTGGTGTGCTTCTATGTTGTTGTTAGAGATTTTGGGAGAATTCTCGGTGTGAGGCTTGTACAAAGACCTAACAATAGTAGAAATCTCTCACAAGGTGTGAGAGGACTAGATGTACCATTGGTTGATAAGTGGAACTAGTATGCATCTTTGTGTTATTTACTTTTCTACGCTTTTATTTTCTACATAACATTATTCTAATTAAGTTGTAACAGTTAACTTGTTTCTGAAAAAGTAAAAAGGAAAGGAATGTGCATAAAAACCAGAAAAAACCAGCAAGTCTAATTCAACCCTCCCCTATTCGATTGCACACTATAATACTTATAATTGATATCAAAACGAGTAAGGTAACTTGATCCTCAATCCATATGGTTTCCGTAAAACCATTTCTAGGATAAGGTGGCAGCATAAATAGGCCTTCATGTTTTACCGATGAATGTTATGATTTCTTGAAGATCAGTATGCTAATGTTTCTTGAGGCACAAGGTTTAGATGTTTAGGAAACTGTCAAAATGAAGATGAAATAGAAAGTTTGTCACTTTCAAAGAGCAGCAACACTGATATCTACACATACATGAAATATTTGTGAAGAAGATAAGTGTCTAATTATGTGATATTAATATTCATCTATCATTATATATCTTTCCTATGTTATCACTTTGCTTTGGACTTTATTCTATTTATTCTTCTTTTTTATGATGTCAAAAGAGAGAGAAATAGTAGGTAATGTACTTGTTCTTGTTTATAATATTTTCAGTGGAGAAAACCTTAAATTGTAAAAGAAAGGGGGAGATATAAAAGATATGGGAAGATTCTATTTGCTGCACAAAATTGCAAAAGTCATATATATTGAAGCAACTCTTTGATAAATAAGAAAATTTCAAAAGATATTTGTCATCATCAAAAAGGGGGAGATTGTGAAGAAAAGTTCTTCTTAAACTTGGTTACAGTTTTGATGAAGACAAACACATCAATAAAATGAAGACAAAAGCTTGTCTAAGAAGAAAAATATTGAAGGCTATCACAATCAAAGGAAAGAATTAAGATGGTTAAAGTATGCATTACAATTCATATTATATATTATATATGAGTTGCAAAAATCATATATATTGAAGCAACTCTTTGATAAATAAGAAAATTTCAAAACATATTTGTCATCATGAAAAAGGGGGGAGATTGTGAAGAAAAGTTCTTCTTAAACTTGGTTCTAGTTTTGATGAAGACAAATACATCAATAAAATGAAGACAAAAGCTTGTCTAAGAAGAAAAACATTGAAGGCTAGCACAATCAAAGGAAAGAATCAAGATGGTTAAAGTATGCATTACAATTCATATTATATATTTTAATGGTTCAAAATATATCACTACTAAAAAAATGCGATTTTGTGACGGAAATTAGTGAAGAAAGTAAATCTCTCACTAATTACGATAGATTTAGTGAGGGAAATCCATACACGTGATAAAAATTTAAAATGGATGAACATTATTAAAGACATTTTCGACAAAATTATTCTGTTGTAAAAAATCTCTCACAAAATTGATAAGAGTGTATTTAGTAATGAATTCTAAGATAATTTCTATTTCTCTCTAACATTTCATTCACAAATTTCCTCGTAAATATGATAGATGTTATTTAAAATAATTGTTCATCTCTAACATATTTTTATATAAAAAATTAAAACTAACGTTTTTATAATGAAATTGTAGTTAAAAAAATTTTTATTAAAAAATGAAAGTAAAATATTTTTGAAATTTAAATAACATATCATTATTTAAATATTAGTTTTTTTTTATATCTATGTTCAAAAGCATAAATATAAATGAAAAATAAATAGTTTTTATGTTATATATAAAAATTTATTTTTCTTTCTTATTCTATAATTTACTTTTATTAAAAAATTAAAAGCAAAAGATAAAAATGTTATACACTAAAATTGGACAAAATGAAAAGTAAAAAATTTACTTAAAATAAAATAAATTCAAATGATAGAAAATCAAAGTCTATAAAAGATATTTTATTAGCATATTAGTTAAACTTAGTTAAGGTAGAAATATAATTAGCATACTAAAAATTGATTAACTCTAAATTTTTTAAATTTTCCTTTCATATTTGACTCCTACATCAAGTTAATTTTAGGTTGTTCTCATATTTCCCTCTTCATTGAAAAACTAATTTCAATTTCACTCTAATAATATTTTATAATATTAATTTCCCTTTTATTTGTTACACTCAAGAAAACCCTAAAACGATAAGCCCTCAAACTAGGAACAGGAAATCCCATAATGAATGTTCGGTCGGTCTTGGATGCAAACTCTTGTTGGATCTAATAACATAGGTGAGTACCATTGCGAATATGCTAAGAGACCTGTTCAGAATAAGCCTTAATTTAATGGCATATCATCGAAGGTTTGGCCAGTCATGGATTTACACTGTTGTCCAACAATGTTTTGAATCTACACACGCTTGTATGAAATCAAGGTCGTTGAAATATGAAACTTCAGTTCCATAGTTTCTGGTAGAGGTAATACAAATTCTTTGAGTTGATTCTTTGGTAGCTTTTTTGAGTTTATTTTTCAAGTGTTCTTAATGGTTTTCTTTTACGTATGAAGATGGCTCCCTGACTATGCTCACGGTAGATTTCACAAATGGTTTTAGCCTAGTAGATCGATCATTCATTCTGCGAAAGGTGATGGTGAAATGCCCATATATTTCCTCGAGTTTATCTATGGTCAAGCAATAATGTTATACTGAAGTGGAACAGGGTGACCCGTTAGGGCCACTCGTTTTTGCCCTTGTTTTACACCCACTCATTCATCATATCAATGACAATTGTAAGCTTATTTTTCATGCCCGATACCTTACTGATGAAACCATCATAGGGGAATTATAGGAGGTGGCTAAAGCCATTGATATCATTCGGGAGACTGATCTAGGATTATACCTTGAATTAAGTATTCATAAAACTTAGATCTTTTGACCTTCGTGTGATGATAGTAAACTGCACGAGGAGTTGTTTCCTTTAGACATTGAAAGGTCGGTGTTGGGGATGAATTTGATTTGAGGGATTTTTCGTCGAGATAAAGGATTTATCAAGTGTTTGTCCATGAAGAGAACGACCAGGGCTATTGAGCTCATGCATCTTCTACCACAGCTAAGGGATTATCAGAGTAAGCTTCTTCTACTTCGTTCTTGCATGAGTATCTCCAAACTCTTTTTTTTGACTTAGAACATGTCAACCTAATCATATGGAGAAAGCAACTATTTGGTTTGATAAAGAGTTGTGATGGGCGGTTGAAGACATTATGGTTGGTGGAGGTACTTTCTTTGGGGGCACTTCAATGGAGAGTGGCTTCTTTGCATATTAAAGTTGGGGGTTTGGGTTTGTCATTAGCATTAGAGGCTGCCTCATATGCCTTTTTGGCTTTCAAGGATCAATCTTAGGTTCTACAAGATTACAATATTGAGAGGTAGTGGGATATATGGTATGGACCCTAATTTCGACAGAACTTTGGATGGTCTTAGTACTGTGATTCCAGATTTTAACCTTAGAGGTCTTACTAGAAAAGACACCACCCCTCCTAAAGTATAACATGTTTTAATTAGTTCCCTTTTTAGTAAAAGTGTTCAGAACATGGATGTAAATTTTGACATAACCACAAGACAAAAATCAGTCTTTGGTTGTTTGCAAACAACACATGCTCAAGATTTTCTCCTTGCTATCCCTATTGACGGTCTAGAGAAAGACATGTCTCCAGTAGAGTACCATGTCATCCTTAAATACCTACTTATGATTCATTTATTTCCCATTGATGAGGTTTTCCCTGTTTGCTGCAATACGTGCTTGGATACATTTGGGGAACACACTATTTATTGCAAGGAGCTTCCAGGATTCAAATACCGACATGACTTTATCATGGATATCCTGTTTGATATATTTAAAAGTGAAAGGGTATATATGAAGAAAGAGAGGTCTATGAATTTCTTGACTGACCCACATGAGGGAAGATTGACTCTTAGGCCAATAATTTTAGTATCTAGTTGTCAAGGATATGGGCACAAAGAGGATGTTTCTACAAATTTCTCACTGACGATTTCTCTACTTATTCCTCAAGAGGAACATGATTGCCTAGACCTCCTCCTTGATTGTGAGGAGGAGTTTGATGTATCTTACTTTTCTGGTGATTTGAAAATCTCGAAACTATATCTTGTTGTGACACAGTTGGCTCGAGAATGATTGTTCGACTTCTTTAGAAGACGATTTCCTACACCGTGCTACATTTTGGATTCACGTTGTGTATCTTTCTTCAAGACGAAGCAACCTTTCTCCTACGACCAGTGATTTTTATTGTCGAACAATGTTGTACATATTGTTCAACAACTCGGTTGCACTGTGTACTTTAAGATTAACTTGTAATAATTAAAAATCAGGCAGTGTTTCCGGTCCTAGTATCGCTGGTGGTAATGGAAGTCTGAGCGAAGGCTCACTTTACTGGTACTACGAAACAAATCCTATGAACATATGCGGTCGAAAGAGATTTGGATGTAATGGAGTTTTCACGATGACCTGGTCTGCACCTCCTTATGAAAAAGGCGGTGGATCTTTTGTGGCTTGAGCAGCAGCGACGATTGTTTCGCGTAAATAACCGATGTAGATATTTCCATTGTTGAAAGATCCCAAGGTTAGAGGTTTGGAGAGTTTGAAAGTCAGAGTTGATCTGCTACTAGAGTAGATAAAAAAATAAAGGATTTATCAATCGATGTCAGGAAATCAAATTTACTAGGCTGAGAAACTACAAATCGATTAATCGAGATATGAGTATTTAATCGTGGACAACACAAGATTCAAATGTCAATTCCTATAGACTAGCATCACTTTTTTCGTAAAGAAATCATAATTGATCGAAGATTGGAGATTGTAGGACACAACAATTGGTTTGAGTTTCCGATGCAAAGAGGAAGTGTTGACATGAAAGGTTAACACTCTAACGGTCAAGTCAACATGTGAGTAAGACGAGTAAATAAAATTTGAATATGAAATATACTTTGAAATTAGCACGCATCCCCTTTATATAGTGGGACAACTATACTAACCTATTATTCTTTAGGCGTAGAATACAGAGTGCTGTTGGATGGATCCTAGATCCAGAGATCTCCAACGCTTTGTTCCAGAATAACACTCTTGTCCTATAAATGACTTAGTGGATTATTGCCTTCTGTTAGATCTTCTGACTAACCCAAAACACTATAAATACAAGTAAACCATACTAAAATAAAAATATTTTATAGATGCCCTAGAATATGTAACTAGGAAAATAAATCAAATATAAAGAAAAATAAAAGTTTATCTAAACTGGTCTAAAAATGTTTCATCTAAACAAAATAGAGCAGTACAAACTAAAATAAAATAAACAAATTAAAAACAAAAACAAATAAAAAGAATAGTTAGTTAAAAGAGTCAGCTAAGTATAATGACTTGATGGGGATAGACCAAATCAAATTATTATAATAAATAAAAATTAGGGTTAAATATGTTTTTGGTCCTTATAAAATTATAAAATTTTATTTTTGGTCTTTAACAAAAAATTGTGTGTTTTTATCATTACAAAATAATTATGCACGTAGTTTAGGGATAATTAAATAATTTTCAAAATTTTAGAAAATAACAAGGACTAAAACTACATGCATAAATTTTTTGTAGGAACCGAAATATGTTTTTTTTTAATAGGAACTAAAAATAAAATGTGAGATATTTATAAAGACAAAAAACATATTTAACCGAAAAAATTAAGTACTTTCTAAATATATTTATTTTAGATAGTTATAGTTTTAATTTTTTATTTTATTTTATTCTCTATTTTAAATTCAAACACTTTTAATTATTTTTATATATTTGTTTATTTAAAATTGATGACATATTCATTTTCTTAATTACATATAATTTTTTTTTATTATTAGAAGTTCATAACTTTTTCTTTAATCTCTTTCTCATTTTTCATCTTAAAAATTAATGACATATGCATTTTTGTATGATTGGTAATTTATATGTTTAATCTTTAAAATTTATAAAAGAAATTATTGAATAATTTATTATGTTTCATAAGTATCACATCATTTTAAAAAATATATCATTAATTTCAAGTACAAAAAGAAAAGAAATGTGTAAAAATGTTTAAATCTAAAATATTCCAAATTTGCTCCATGAATCTAGTATAATAAAGTATAAAAAGTGTAATTTAATGAATTTTTTTCTCACAATTTGCTCCATGAATCTAGTAAGCCTGCTCTGTCTAGCATGAGCTGCTGATATAGCTCTATTTGCCGTAGTTTTATCTAAAGGTAAATTCTGAAGAGGAAAAGCTATTGGACTATGACTATTACTGTTGATCTTTTTTTTTTACATCAAAAATACAGAGACATAGACGCTTGTTTGGAGAAGAAAAAACTTTATTTCGAATTGATGATTTTTTTTTTTATATCTCCAACTAAAAAGTATACTGCTCAACAAACAAACACAATACAAATCACAATGATTTCAGCAACCTCTTTCTTAGTATCAGACCACTTTGAAGAAGAACAAATAAATTTTAATTTTTTCATCTTGAAATTTTACTAACAATGCTACTTAAGAGTAAACCCTAACTCTATGTTGAATGAAATAGCAAATGGAGTGTTTGTGCGTTGTTTATTTATATATATGAATAAAAAGAAAAAAGAAAGAGAAAGCTTAATGTGTGAAATGTGGGAAGATTTTGAAATGTTAGTGACAAATTTTTGTTCTGTCTGTATTTGTTTTTCTGTATTTAAAAAAAATCAAATCAAACCCAAAGATTTTTTGAAAATTATATTCAAGGCTAATTACTATTAATTAAATATATTTATAAAAGATATTTTAAAGATATATTTTAAAAGATATTTATATATCTTAGAAAAATTAGTATTAATTAAATATATTTTAAAAGATGTAGTAATTATATATATTAAATTAAATATATCAAGCACATTTATTTACACGCCTCCATCAAATTAAGACCTATTTTCTATTTCATATAAAACAAAATAAAAATATGAAGATTAATTCTAGTTCTACCTTATTTACATTTGTTTGGTTTATGAAAAAAAAGTATGGGGAAAGAAATGAAAGAGAAAAGAAGAATAAATAATGATAATTTAATTTGTGTATTAATACGATGACATAAATGTTCTTAAGCAAAATTTAATTGTTATACAATTATTTTAATAATTAAGATAATAATTTCATTACAATCAGCAAATATTAAAAACTATAAAATAAAAGAAAAATTACATTCACGTTCTCTAAGGTCTACTAAGATATATCCATTCTCTCTAATTTTAAAATATAGACTAACATTTTTTGTTTTTACAAATATCAATGATAAAAATCATTTATATTTATAATTTTTTTTAACTGACATGAAAACTTATCTTGGTATATGTCAACTTTTTTCCGGCATATTAATGAGAAAGAGAGATGTTTATATAATTGATAAAAAGTAATTAAGGAAGTTAATATTTATTTTAAAATTAAATGGAGTGTCAGTGTCATTTTAAGAGATAATATAGGATGTGAGTGTAAATTTTTTTAAATAAAATAAAAATAATAGAAAAAATATTTTGTAATAATCAATTTTTTAAATTTAATTATTTATAATCACATTTGTAAATAAATAAATAAATAATATAAATTTTTTTAATGTATTTGCAGGCCATATGTTTAGTACCTCTTCAACATATGCGACTCACTCAAGCTTTAGAATTTTATAGAGATTAGTTTTACAACGTGTATATAAATTATTTTGTACGAGAATAGAAAATATGTAAGACGTAGAAGACGATAATCGTAGAAAGACTTATGATATGGTGATAAAGGTTTTGATAATCAATAAGAAGTGTTTAGAAGATTAATATTTCAAAGTTCAAGTCAGCGTCTAAAAGCGATAGAATTATGTAAGTATGAATGAGAAGAATATATGAGTGACTCAAAGTCACGCTTATATAAAGTTGATAGTTAGAACTGTCATCGCGTGATCCGACTTGGATTGCAGATGACTGTTGTATGTATATTAGTAGTAGGGATGTTGGTGTTGGCATGCTACAGTGCGATGCTCTAGAGAAGAGGTACACATATTCATCAATCAATGAAGTGTTTTAATTAGATTGGACCGTATATATTGGACTGATCTTATTAGGCCTTTGATTAGTCTGCAACACCAACCATTATGCCATAAGTACTTCATTTAAATTTATAAGAAAAATAAAGAAAGATTTGTTTATGTTCAATAATAGTGTTCTGTTTGTAAACCAGAATTGTTGGTGTAAACTCTTGATACAGAAGTGCATATCTTTGATACAGTTGCACGGGGGTGGACCTCAAAGATTAACAATACCATTCTCAAGTCAGTAAGTGGATAAAAAAGGGGTAGAGTAAATTATGATTGAAGTCATACTTTTTTCCTGCTTGCGAAGTGGTTTATATAGAATGGGCGACTATTAATCTATGAGGTGTTGGGCATGTGGAAGGTTCATAACAATTTCCCCATAGGCTTGTCGTGACATGATGCATGAAAACTATGTCAAGGAATTGGGTCAAATACCTTTAGTAGGGATCTTGTGTTGAAAATGGAAGATATTTGGGGGACAACTACATTTAATGTTAATCTAACCGCTGAGACGTTTAACAGTTTTTCCGTCACACGTGGCTCTAGGTTCGTAGGTTAGGGCATACCACTTTCTCCTATGTTGCTTGAGTACACTCAAATGTCGTTATATTTTCGAGGTGAAATCTAACTGTTGAATTTTTGTCTTCTCATTTTCTTTCAAATAATTTATGTTCCCTCTTCCAACAAGACTTACTGTCCTGTTACAAACCCTTTCTTCTTTGTTTAGCTCCGGTGATTTTTGATCTTGCCATTTTTTTTCTTGTTTAAGCCCGTTGTTTCTGATTTATCTTCATTCTTCGAGCTTTTCTTGTTTCTAATTGTTCTTTTACCCCACTTCTTTACTCAAGTACCATTTCTAGTTTACTTTCATTTGCTACTTTGATTTCTTGCCTTTATTATGGAAAATATAGAGAATATACAAGAGAATGTGGGGAACAAACCTAATAGTGAAGATTCTCCATTGTCGCCAATAAATGAAAATTCATATGTCTTAAATGTTGGTCTTTTAGAAGTTAACAAGTCTAACTCTAATTTTATTATACTTAGTGATAATTTT